GAAGATTACTAGGACTCCACTGCCCTCTCTGCAGAGCATTTACCACGGCAGGGTGTGTAGGAAGGCTGCCTCCATCCTCAAAGATCCCACCCACCCCCAGCACGGACTGATCAATTCTTTGTCCTCTGGCCGGAGGTTCAGAAGTGTGAAATGTAGGACCACTAGACTGAAAAACTCTTTCTTTCCCTCTGCCATCAGACTCCTAAACAGCTGAGGAGTTCATTACCAGGAAATATGTGATGTACTATTTACATTCTCAGTTTGCAGATGTATAATTGCACAATGACTGTTGACTGCTGCACATGCTGCTCCCATGCAGCATACATTTTGTTATATTCTTGTATATTTTTTTTCTACTATATTGCTGCAGCTGCGCTGCTTAAAGTGCCTTAGATTTTGTGTTATTTATTTATCTACGTTATATTTCATTTGTATTTTGTGGCATTCATGTGGACAGCAAAGTAAGAATTTCATTGTACAGGGAAACACATTTCCTAACTGTGCATATGACAAAATAAACACTTTGAACTTTGAACCAACCACAAGCAACCAGTCTACAGTATCTGACCCCATCACCCACCACCCACACAGCACAATGTGATTATTAGACTTACTGAGGCCTGGAATGCTCTTTAGTGTTCTGCTGTACTTCATGGCAAATGTGAAATGTCAGTGCTTGTAGTTTGCTGACAAATCAAGTATTTTCCTCCCTGTGAGGTGCCCCTTACCTCAGCTTATGGCTCTGACCCACAAGTCTCTAACTTCCAATAAAACTAATTTGGACACTTGGGAAATAAAGCCAACTTTAGCTGAGGAGTGGCACCAACTCCAACTATCCCATTGTGCTTTCTGTGTATGTCATTCTACTGCTCTCCCCCATCTTTGCCTCTCCTTCTCTCTGCCACTCACTCTGCACCAGCTACTTCTTTCTCCATCACACCCCACCTGCCCCCTCACTGCAGATGAATGTGCAGCTGCACAATGGGACCTCCACAATATGGATATTGTGTACACTGGACATTTGTATGAATGAGTGCATGATCCCCACTTGCAAATGCAATAGTCTAGCTTTTAGTGCCATCCCTTTCTTCAGATTTTCATCTCTTTCACAGAGACCTATTTGTCAACTTGGTTGAGTGAACCCAGCCATCTCACAGTGGAGACCCTTCCCTCTCACGCAACACTTCCTTGTTTTCAGGGATAATTTGAGAATCAACTAACCTAAAAAAAGAATGAACAGTCATTTGGTTTCATGTAATGCAATATAATGAATCGGTTCATATTGCATTAGCTTTGAACAAAGGCAAGAGGAATCAATAAACCTTCCATTATAATAACTGATTTACATCCATAACTTGTATCATTACACTGACAGGAGACCTACTAATGGTAAGGTTCAGGGAGCAGGCTTTTGCTTACATGGCATAATAGGTCTCTAGGTCTGATGGATTACTACAGTACTTGAGAACAACATCTACACCTGCTATGATCCAAATTACAAATGTGTTCTGGATGGTGGGTTCAAGGTAGCTTCAAGAGTTTCTGACTAAAACCTTTGTTAAAGAAAAAAATGATACCCTGACAAAGATATGGAGGAAATTTTGCCACAAGGCCCATTAAGTAACTGTTGTGTAGGTTTCAGTCATATTATTTGATCTTCGTCAATTGTTTGCCCAAATGTCATGAATCTGAGCTTTTTCTTTTTTCTTGGGTACTTTAAGGATTTGTGATTTATATTGGCTTAAAAGTGGAGATTCATTCTTAGACTTTGGAAACAGCAATCTCAATCTCTCTCGAAAAAAAAAGACTGTCAGCTCAAGGTCAATTTAGCAGCTGTTCAAGCGGGTTTTGATCATATCACATCATCTTCATAAGAAGAAATGTATGTTTTCATTCTGCAGTGTTGTTCGGTGTATTTTTGGAATTCCCTTGGTGTTTTTGGTGTACAAACCTTCCTTCAATCATCACCATCCTGTCTTATTTATCAAAATGTTTTAACAACCTCCATAAATGAGTGCTCTGTACTATACAATATATACACTTATACTGATGGAGAGTACATAATTAAAGGATGCTTTTATCCAGGAGGACGATCTGTAGTTGGTCAAAACATTGCAAATGCAGTCAATAGGGAGTTGTGATTGTAGTGTGCATGGTATAGTTGCTGGAAAACAACAACAAAACTTCAACTGCAACAATTTCATGGATTTATTTATTTATTTTTTCCAGCAACTACCCCCTACACAAAGAAATTTTGTGGATGCGCATGACTATTCTAAATAACGATGGCAAAAACATAACTAATATACCTACACAAAAAAGAGTGTGTGCATTAAGAGAATAATGCAGTGGTTTGTGTGTGGATTGACTGAATGACATAATCCTTTTTGTTAGACAGTTTCTTCCTTAAAAATGATCTATGGATTACTCTCAATGCTAAGAAGAAGCAAACAGACATAGCCAATTTAGTAATACTGCAAAGAATGATATCTGATTTTGTTATTTGGGGTTTGGCTTGATGACGGTCTTTCTTTTAGGCTTCATGTTGAAAAATGTAAAACAGAATTAGGGTTTTACTTGAAGCTACAGTATGCAACTTGAGCTAGCACCAGCATGGAACTCCAAAACAACCCACTCTGCTCCACCCAGCACTCCCGCTCCCTGCTCCACTTTGCTCTACTACGATCTGCTGTGCTTCCCACGCTCTGCCCAGCTCTCCAGATAATTGCTGTTATGAAATTACAATGAATGAGAATGGAACAAAACTTACTAATCAAGCAGAAATAATTAAAAATCTCTGGCTGGTTAGAGAGGTCAGTCCTGCTCAAAAACATTTAGAAGAATATATCTCTGCACTGCCGCCAGTGCTATTCAAGGAGTCTGGGTCACAGGAGGCTTCGACAGCATGTCTCCACATTAAGACAAGTTTTGGAGCAGATTTCTACAACAAAAATATTTTGGAAAAAAGGTTACATACTGTAGCACAAGTACTGTTTTTGACCAGAAGCTAGAAAAAGCCTGGTAGCTGCCACCTTATTGCCAGTGCTTGACTATACTGTCACAATGTCTTAGGCAGTTGCACTCTGTTTAGCACAGTGCTTTAGATTTATTATAGTACCAACTTCCATGAAAGTTGGTACTGTTGGTTCCATGTGTTTCGTGGATCTGGAGAAGGCATTCGACCGTGTCCCTCGCAGCGCCCTGTGGGGGTGCTCCGGGAGTACGCGGTCCGGGGCCCTTTGGTAAGGGCTGTCCGGTCCCTGTACGACTGGAGCAGGAGCTTGGTTCGCATCGCCGGCAGTAAGTTAGACTTGTTTCCAGTGCATGTTGGACTCCGGCAGGGCTGCCCTTTGTCACTGGTTCTGTTCATTATTTTTATGGACAGAATTTCTAGGCGCAGCCAGGGGCCGGATGGAGTCCGATTTGGGGACCACAGGATCTCGTGTCTTTTTGCAGACGACGTTGTCGTGTTGGCCCCATCAAACCAGGACCTCCGGCGGGCACTGGGGCGGTTTGCAGCCGAGTGTGAAGCGGCTGGGATGAGAATCAGCACCTCCAAATCCGAGGCCATGGTTCTCAGTCGGAAAAGAGTGGCTTGTTCCCTTCAGGTTGGTGGAGAGTTCCTGCCTCAAGTGGAGGAGTTCAAGTATCTTGGGGTCTTGTTCACGAGTGAGGGAAGGATGGAA